AATCTCTCTCGCAGTCGGATTCCATAATGGCATCGTTGTTCCTCTGGTAACTGGTTTCCCTGTTTACATCTCCTATACTGAGGTGAACAACGATTTTATAGAGAAATCCGAATGTGAGAAAGATTTAGGAGTAATGATAAGTAGGAATCTTAAGCCAAGTAAACAATGTGTTTTTGCTCGTAACAAGGCTAATAAAGTACTTGGGTTCATACAAAGGAGTGTTAGTTACAAGACCAGCGAGGTCATCCTAAAACTATATCTAGCCCTTGTGAGACTTCACTTGGATTACGCAGTTCAATTCTGGTCACCGTACTACAGAATGGATATAGAATCCCTAGAAAGAATTCAGAGGAGAATGACAAGACTAATCCCGGGCATTAGGAATCTTGAGTACAGAGACAAGTTAAAACATCTTAATTTGCACTCCCTCGAGAGACGTAGAGCGATATGATAGAGGTGTATAAATGGAAGTCAGGGCTAAACAAATGGGACATTACAGAGGTACTCAAACTATCCAACCAGGAGCGAACTCGTAAAAATGGTTTTAAATTAGACAAATTGAGATTTAGGCGCGAGATAGGTAAACATTGGTTTGGAAACAGAGTTGTGGATGAATGGAACAAGTTACCAAATATCATCATTAACTCGAATACGCTGGATAGTTTCAAACATAGGTTGGATGCTTATATGAGCAATAGGGGCTGGGTGTAAACGGGACTGACCAGTATGGGCCAATAGGCTCGCTGCAGTTTCCACCATTCTTATGTTCTTATAGTCCGCACACAACACACACACGAACATCATTATCTAACTTGACCTATAACAGTAATAACGGCAATGTGTTGAACGCTGGATTAGGGTCAGTTAGGTTAGATCAATAAAGAGTTAAATTAGGAATAAGTTAGGATATTAATAGATTATGTTAGGATTTGGTTAAGTTAGATTATGTCAACATTGCATAAGGTTAAATTAAATTATGTATGAGGATTAATTGAAATTATAGTTTGTTTAGGATAGTTTTGCTTAGATTAGATTAAATGAGGTTAGTTTAGCTTAGAATAATTAAATGTTCGTGTATCTTGAATTGGATATAGTATTAGGATGAGGTTAATTTTGGAATAGTTAACTTAAAATAGATCAGTTAGTGTTTGTTAGATCATACCAAGGTTGGGTTACGTGGTATATTGTCTTGAACGTATCGGTCTTGTTTAACCCCCGTTGTCTCTTGTGGCATCATGGCCGTCCCCGGGGAAAACCACGAATCCAGTGGCGAGGAAAATGTTATACTCGTAGCGTCTTTATAGTCAAACTGCGCTTATCGTGTTGTTTTCCTTATTTCTTGTACGTGTTTTTGATACTACAGTAATTTTAGTAGTTAGTTTCAGTGTTCTGTAGCTGTCAGGTTTTTACAGATTATTTAATTTTTAAGTTAAATATCCTTTTTCTATTTGACTGAACTAATTTTATATATATTATTTGGTCTTTCTTGGTAACATTCAGTTATAATTGTCCTGAGAATTTGACATTATTTTAAGTACAATTTGCCATCTTGGAGTTGGCAGTTATTACCAACGCATATCTCTAGTTTATGTAACCTAATTCTTTTCTTCCTTCCTCTTACAGTCTATTTATTCCACTTAAGTATATATTTTTTTCTATATTTCATTTTTATTCGAATCTTAGTACTTCAACTGTACCTCCTCTTCTTAAAATGTATTTATATAATTCCCAATTTATTCCAATCTGTTTTATTTAATTCAGGACTTATTATACATTATTTTCATTCATTATTATTTGGTATTAGTTTTCTTTTTGGTTCGTTCTCGTCTTCTTCAACGCGCCATGTAAACACACGTCATACAATACCGGGGTCAATTGCCGAGCTCGACTACACCAGGTGTTGTTGCGGGCTAATTGCTGTCATCTCAGGGGTCTTGGGGGGCATTTTATGGTTTGATTATTTTGGGATCTCAAGGTTCTCCGGGCGTATTTCAGTCTCGGGATCTTGAGGGGTGTTTTTTTATCGGGATCTCGAGCTTCTGGCAGGAGTGTCCTATTATGGGTATCTGGGGGAGATAAGTTATATATCTGAGGGTTTCTGGGATTATTAATATATCTGGGGCTTCTGGGGATAGGCGCCTGTCTACGAGTGTCCTATAATCTCTGGTGACTTTTGGGGGATAGTCGCGTGTCTACTAGTGTTTTATACTCTCTGGGGACTTCCGGGGTAATCACCGTGGCATTATTACAAGATTCAGGGGGAGCACCCGAGACCTATCCGAGCGAGTCGTCACTGGAGGGGAATTTCCGCCCTTGTGAGACGTCAGGAACTAATTGGGGTCCAGGAGGTGTCGATTCACTCATGGATTCACTGGAGTGTCAGACAGTCAGCCGCTGATTTTCTCGTGTGTAAATCGTCAGCGAATATGATTCATGGATCAAATAGTATTAAGTTTTTTAATTTAATAACCTTAAAGGAACTGCAATTCAGTATTATCGAATATAAGTTGCTACTAAGTTTTGTTGGAAAGCTTGTTTAATTATCCTGGTATTATAAACTAAAGGCGTTTATGAATTGTAGGTTAAGTTAGGCTAGTTTAGGTCCATCAGAACATACAAGTGGAGGAAACTGCAGCGGGTCTAATTGGCCCATACTGGGCAGTCCCGTTTATACCCAACCCTTATCGCTCATTTTTTTCATCATATTCGCCACTTATCAGGTTACTAGCCGTTTGGGCGGTTTATCCAGCGTTAGTACAGGAGGAAACCTGTGGTGTTTGGTAGGGTCACACTGGATCCTTCTCTCGTAGTACCCATATTCAAAAAGGGAGACAGAGCATCAGCGTCAAATTACCGGCCGATCAGTTTGACGTCAGTAGTGGGGAAATTTCTTGAATCAATTATAGCAGATAGCATCCGATCGCATTTAGAGAAAAGCAAATTAATCTACGACTCTCAACATGGGTTTACAAAGGGAAAATCTTGTCTAACAAATCTGCTGACGTTTTTTAGGAAAGTCTTCGAGGTAGTAGATAATGACGAAAATTACGATGTTATTTACTTAGACTTTAGCAAAGCATTTGACAGAGTACCGCATCAGAGGCTTCTGAGAAAAGTTAAGGCTCATGGTATCGAGGGGAAAGTTTTAAATTGGATAAAATCATGGCTCACCAATAGAACGCAGAGGGTCAGCGTAGATGGTGTTAAATCTGAGTGGGGCCGTGTAACCAGTGGGGATCCCCAGGGGTCAGTACTAGGCCCACTCTTGTTCATAATCTACATAAACGATCTAGATACTGGGATCAGCAGTGACATAAGCAATTTTGCGGATGACACCAAAATAGGGCGACAGATTAATTCAGGGCAGGATGCAAATGCACTACAGGAGGATCTAAATAAACTGCAAGGGTGGTCTGAAAAATGGCAAATGAAATTCAACACCAGCAAGTGCAGCGAACTTAATATTGGAAGAACAAATACTGTCAATGTATACAGCCTTAACAACATCAACCTAGAGAAGTCGACCTGTGAAAGAGACCTAGGGGTACTTGTAAGCCCGGACCTACGGCCTGGAAAACAGTGCGTCAATGTTCGAAATAAGGCAAACAGAGTATTGGGTTTTATATCTATAAGTAATAAGAGTGCAGAGGTCTTATTGCAACTATATCTTGCGCTAGTACCTCCATTATGCGGTTCAGTTCTGGTGCCCTTATTATAGAATGGATATCAATTCACTAGAGTCGGTGCAGCGAAGAATGACGAAAATGATTCCGGGACTTAGAAACCTTCCATATCAGGATAGGTTAAAGAAACTAAACTTGTATTCCCTAGAAAGACGAAGAGTGCGGGGAGATATGATAGAAGTATTTAAGTGGGTGAAAGGAATCAATAAAGGGGATATGGATAAAGTTCTTATAATATCCGAGCAGGATAGGACTCGGAGCAACGGATTTAAGTTGGATGAGTTTAGGTTTGGGAGGGAGATAGGAAGGAACTGGTTCACAAATAGGGTGGTGGACGAGTGGAACAAGCTTAGCAACTTTGTAGTAAGTGCTGGAACGTTGGAAAGTTTCAGGAGGAGGCTGGATAGATTCATGGATGATAGAGTGGTAATAACTCTCGACATGAGCTGCCATGCACAGGCCAACCGGCCTATTGCAGACTCCTTATTTTCTTATGTTCTTATGTGTCTGAGCCGAGGCTCGAACCCTTGACATATTGGTGAGTTATGCGCGTTACCGCTGTACCACCAACTTATGTTAGAAGCTATCCAGCGTATTCGAGTTAACGATGATGTTTGGTAACTTGTTCCACTCGTCCACTGCTCTATTTCCAAACCAATGTTTACCTATCTCGCGCCTAATCTAAATTTGCCTAATTTAAAACCATTGCTACGAGTTCGCTCCTGGTTGGATAGTTTGAGTACCTGAGATTAGGTTAGGTTAGTTTCGACAAGGTTAGGTTAGGTTGGTTAATCTTTGGGTGAAGTAAGCCGAGGGAGGGGTTAATCTTTGGGAGATCCAATGACTGAAATATATAACAGTTGGTGTGATACATTTAGACAACTTGTGGCTGTGGTGATCGTTCAGTGAAGTGTCTTGCTGAACTAACTGATGCGTAACTAACCTTCACCTTCAAGACATCAGCAACGAGTTTTTGTCTTGCCTGAACATCAGTAAAGACCAATAGTTGAACACGACACATCACACTAGGTTACTTTTGATAGACTGTTAGTTTTTATTTTTTCCGTCTCCCCCTTTTTCTCAATTTTTCCTTTTATCTGTAATTATTAGATGCCGGTATTATTATGAGTAATATAATTTTTATTATTGTTGACAGATGTTGAAGATTATGTTATTATGATCATTATTTAGGTTTTTATTAAAAGTTATTTAAGTGTGTCGTGTTTGGTACCGTCAGTGCTGTTTATTAACTTGTATAAGTGTCATCACCTTCAACTCCTAGTATACAGGAATACAGTGAGCATAAAACACACTTACAGAGAGGGAGAGAAGGCAGATGAAGAAGGACCTTGAGAGAGCGGAGTAGTAACAAAGAGCGAGGTGCCTCATCCCCGCCACAGTGGTGGATAGCGTGCCCCGGGGCCTCCCTGTGTCGCCTGGCACACACTCACAAACTCTGCTGGTCTGTAGAGCCTTTATAATTCGCCAATCCACGATCCAAGGCCACTGAATATTGGAGGAAATAGATGGGAGACAATGGAAGAGGAAGTTTGAGAAGCGAGGCACGAGGGAACGGAAGTGGTGTTGGGCTGCAAGTGGCTGCCGGCACAATCTGGTCGGTCGCGCCAGCCAGCTTGCTCCTGTCCAGGCCATTGCTTCTCCTATGAAAAACAGCGTCATATATAGCTTTACTTATTTATTATCATGTAACTAACCGTCGTGTGGATTATTATTTCATTAATAAGCGCATCTTGGCATAAACACTGTATCTATTATCCATTTTTACTTTAAGAAAAATAAACTCGTTGGTCTGGAAATTAAATAACGATGTGTTGTGTGTACTAGGAAAAGTCCCGCCTCCAGCGCGGGCCACGTGTGTCCCCCATGACGTCACGTCCATAATGCTAACAACAACAGCTCGACAAACTCCCACATGCAGCTCATCCTACAACTTATTGTTACGTTCATCAAGAGCACATGCGAGCAGGAGAATACTAATAAGAATAGCGAGGTGGTGTGGTAGCGAGGGCCAGATTGCTGACTAACACAAAGTGGCGTCATCATCTTAGTTATCCCAGCCCGCCATATGGCCCGCACCCCCACCAGCACCAAGGAGACACCTTCCCTTAGCATTATTGTACAGTATCCCACCATCTAGGTTACATCATCTGGCTTTGAAGTTGTGGGATAAGTTTAGGTGACGATGTATGGTATGAATTATATTGTTTTGATTGCGTTTGGTTGGTTGGTTAGTTCGGAGGCTGAGTAATATTATGCTCTTAGGCTTAGGTTAGCTCGTTTGGTAAGGTTACATTGTCTCGGTTAGGTTAGAGTGGGTTAAGGGGTCTAGGTAAGGTTAGATTTGGTTACGTTCAGTTTATATTCTTTGGTTTAAGCGGAGTTATTTGGGTGATACGGACAGGTTGTTAGTTAACGGGTTACGTCACGCCAGTTTAGGTAATTTGAGGTAATCCTTGTCAGGTAAGCAAAGTTTAGGTCGGGTCCGGTTTTATTAAGTTAGGTTATATTAGTTTACATTGTTTTAAGCATTATTATCCTCCCCAGTCTTAGTATTGATGCTCTCCTCAGCCGCCACCTCGACACTCTACTCTGGAGGAAAACAAACCAATATTCGGCAGGAGAGAATGTGACAGACGGTGTGTGGCAAACGGTATGGGGTGGTGTTGACGCAGGCACTGATCCAGCCTACTCCACGTGTGACTCACCCACACTTCGAACTTTAGACCATTGTCCACTCCGTCTCAGACCCCACCACCCACGCATTCTCATCTTTGACTATACTCCAAGTTCCACTCACTGTGTATTCCAACAGCTATCGCCCACACAGCCTAGTGATTAACGCCCACTGTTGAAGACCTTTCGCCCACATTGCCTACCTCGGGATCACCACCCACCCGGTAATATATTGACCCAGACATCAAGTAGGTGTTTGTTTAATGATTGCTGAGTGAGTGAGAGGCGTGTTGAGAGAGATTGGTGGAAACGAGATGGTGATTAGTCAGTTTCTTGAGGTTTGTCTCATAGTAAAATGGATGTGAGAACGTAGAATATTCCTGAATATTACCTACCGGCTTATTAACACCGTAACCCAACCAAATACTAAATGCTAACCTAACCTATATCTCAACAGAACGTTAGAGTGTTAAAGGAACAGTTGAAATAAGTTGGGGCTAATCTTCATGTGATCCTAAAATAGTGATGGTAGCGTTAAATGTTGTTGTGGGGGGAGGGGACTGCTGACTAGGCTAACATTATTAGTAGTCAGTGGAATATACGATACGAAGTTGTCTTATTGCAGGAGTCACAATGGTAATGGTTAAGTACTTTTATCGAGATGCTAAACTGTTCTCTCTCTCTCTCTCTCTCTCTCTCTCTCTCTCTCTCTCATGGAGTTCAGTAGCGTCAGGTCCCAAGAGACACTAAGGGTAGGTTCAGGTAAAAGGATTGACAATAGTGACAAGACCTTGATATATGCGGCCCCACTCAACCATTGTCACTGACCTTGAAGGGTAGGGTGGTGGGGAGGGTTAAGGGGAGGTCAGCGTGGGTCATTGTTCCAGGTTTTCTGCCGAGGTCAAGGCAGATCACCATGAGCATTATAGGACGTGTGCGGAGTATGTCATTAGTTTGAGTTAACCTAACCTAATTTTGTCAGGTTAACTTAAGACTTTGTTAAATTTAATCTAATCAAATAGAACCTAACCTAACCTTACAGGATATTCGAGATGTAAAGAAGCTTGGGTTCGTGTGATTTTGTTCTACCCCCCCCCCCTACTTACCCTCATCCCGCCCACGGGTTGTCGGAAGCCTCGTATTGAAGCCTGGAAGGGAGAGGAGGGGTTGGGGAGTCGTGACGCAGGAAGAGGAGGGGAGGGGGTGCAGATAAAGGCCATGTGTGCCAGAGCTGTCTCTCCCCAACACACACACACACAATCCTTCCATCCCACCAATGTCATTCTCTTACCTCTTGTCTACTGTTCACAAGTTAACTGTTTATTTATTTATTTATTTATTTTTATATTAACGGGGCGAGGGATGTTGAGTAGGACACACACAGGGTTGATGTTGATTAGAGAATAAGTAAAACTGGAAACTTTTTCAGGTGTTGAAGGTTAGGTGATCGCCGCGATATACGTTTGTGTTTCCCTCCATTACCTCCGCTCCTCATCTTCCTCGTCTCATCCCCATTCTTTCCACTTCCTCTTATACTTTTAGTCTAATTTCTCAAAACAAAAGTTTCCTCTGCATGGTGGATCAAAGACAGCTGGGAGCAGGAACACGAAGTGGATGATATGAAGATTAGGCACCCTAGCTAACTTGATGAAACATCCTAACACCACCTAGATGGTTTGGGCCACGTTAGCTTTAAGTGTTTAAACAGAGTGAAAATGAACGCTGGGGTGCCTAAACTAAAGGTAAATCCTCATAGCCAGCAGCCTAGTATGGAGCGGAGGTGTGCCTAAAACTTCAAATGATTCCAGGAAGTTAAGAGCCTAGTGTGGGTTTCCCCCTATGACACTGGCCAGGAACTTCCAAGTGACTGACGACGACTCCACCTCTCAGCCACACGATACACTTTCACCACTAACTTGAATTATCTTCAGTTAGGGGAAATATTACTATACTTATGAGCCATGAGAATTGATCATTGTGTAACAGTTTTAATTGTCCAAGTTTGACGTCTCAATTGTAGTTAGGAGGACTAATGAATGACCTGAAGATTAGCACCCCCAGTTTGTTTCACCTGCTGATTTAACAACAACGCCACATGGGGGTTAAGGTTTGGTTAAGTTGGTAGTTTAGGTAAGATTAGAATTAGGTTAAGTTAGGTTAGGTGAAGTTAGTTTGAGTTAGGTTAGCTTTAGGGTAATTCAATCACCAGGTAAAATATAGTAGTGCCTAATCTTCAGGCTATCCAGATTAACAATTAAACCTATGAAAAATCCTTCCTTGTGTTGCATTAGTGGCCACATCTCCAGGTATGAGGAAAATTGAACTCACTGACCTTCTGAGAAACACAGGAAACACAGCACCAAGGTCTAGGGATTGGCTTCAGTTACCTCGGGGGTGATGACGATTCCTCAAGTCAACCGATTACGAGTTCGGAGACAACTTTAAAAATCAGGCATTGGGAATTTTAATAGGACTCGGATATCACTGTTTTGAAGTTAGAGAGATTATGTCTTGGTTGTATAATGGTGTTGAGAGAGAGAGCAGTATGCCGTGTACTATGCGACTACAATTTCGACGTGCCTCTCCTCTCAGGAAAAAATACAAAAAGTAATAATAACAATCGTCTTCAGGGAGATGATAATTGATATTAGATAATAAAATTTTAACTAGGTTGATACAGTGGGTTATATTGACGGTATACAGTTAGTTACCCCTGACTGTAGACTGTTTTGGCGGGTTTCATCTACAACAACAAAACCATCAGCTGATTTGTGACGTCGTGTGCAGCCCCCCCCCCCCATATAAGGTGCAGTGTTTAGATTATACATTGGTTGATCTTACCTGTAGAAGGGGTATGAAGGCGAGGTTAAAGTTATACAGTGGTCACTCCTGCCCGAAGGTGACTTACGAACTGTTTGAAAAAATACAATGTTCGTATTTTCTCTGGACACACACACACACACGAATATGATGCTATAGATAAATAAAAACTGAAGTTATATATAGAACGAGAGAGAGAGAGAGGCGCCCCAGGTGTGTGCTACGCATGAGGTGCGTCGTGCGTTGCTGAGGAGGTGACGCATGCGTGGAGGACCTTGAATCCTGTGAATTTTGTGGGAGGCGGCATGATACTCCAGGCCAGGGGGAGTATTCCACAGTGTTTTAATGATTGTATCAATTTTTGGGGGAATTGTACCAGTGTCTTAGGAATTGTACCAGTGTATTAGGGATTGTACCAGTGTATTAGGGAACATACCATTTGTACCAGTGCATTTTCAAGGATGTTTGAATTACCTGTGTGTGTGTGTGTGTGTGTGTGTGTAAAGATGTCACCAGCTGGACGTGAGAACTCGTGGTGTCTGGTGGAGTCAGGGTAATGATGGCTGGTTGGGTGACTGAGACAAGGTTCACGGCCGAGCTTGTTTTATTGTTGGTGGGTGTGGCGCAGCAAAACCCCTGGAGTGTACGTCAGTGTAATACAGTGTAGGTTAATGTAGGGCGGAGTACGTCAGTGTAATACAGTGTAGGTTAATGTAGGGCGGAGTACGTCAGAGTAATACAGTGTAGGTTAATGTAGGGCGGTATTCTTCAGTGTAGGTTAATGTAGGGCGGTGCAGGTTAATGTAGGACAGTGTACGTCAGTGAGGTACAGTGTAGGATAATGTAGGGCAGTGTAGGTTAATGTGGGGCCGTGTACGTCTGTAATACTTTTTTTTTTTTACGGGTATTAGCCCACCCAGGCACAGGTCAATGACCCACATTGGGGCCTGGGGGGCGAAAATGTAATAATAATAATAATAATAATAATTCATAATAAATAAAATTTATGATAAAACAAACAAAAATAAAATA